AACTGCATGTGCGCGGTTTTGAAACATGCCAGGTAGGCAGAGTGTTGGTGGGTGGGAGGGAGGGAGGGAGGGAGGGAGGGAGAGATAATACTCTGTAATGACAGATTGCCAGTTTTCTTCTAATTTTTAGCATTGGGACTTTGGAAATGAAGTAATGACACAGCAAAATGATGGAGTATCTGGGTGTATTTGCTGAGGTCTCCTGCTGGAAGAAAAGCGAGCGTTTTCATTCTAAGTGTCTTCATTATTCCAATCTATTCTCCCATTGATTTGCCATTTCCTATACAAGGGTGGCAATTAACTCACTATGAGCTCCAAATGCATTAGAACCAGCTTTTTCTGCTGTCAGCTAGTCGGTTTTCATTCAACATGACCAAAAAGCAAATCCAGCGGTTCCATTCTTGGCCACTGTGTCTATTTCTGCATGCTCCTGAGGCCTGCTCCGCTATCAACCTGAATCAAGAGAACTGGCTCATATTTTCTTTGGGTCTGAAGAGGAAAAGGTCCCTTTAGAACCGATGAATGAATCTTCCTTGAAATCGAATGTGGGAAGCTCTTAAATAACGAGGTTATAGCCTGAACAGATCTACTGCATGGGAAGGTTATTTTTTAACTCTGGTGTTAAACTATTCCACTGGCGCGTGCAATAATTCATAACCGAGATATGCCATTGCTGACCTATGACCATCAGCTATATTCAGGGAACCTGTTTTTTCATTCAGTATTAAAGAGGGTATGTTTATTTAGAAGACGAGCCATATTTATTGATGCCTATTGTCCCGGACAGTAGAATTACTTATGTGTCCACACTGCAGTTGTCATGATGCACAGTAACTGGATCCAATATTAATCCTCACCAAAAGGTTGACAAGGTCTTCACTTCGGTCTCTGAAATGTTTTCGATGTGACAGCAGCCAGATGATGGTGAGTGTATATATAGTAATTCGGCTTTAGAAGGAGCACCTCACTGACACTAATCTGTTTTGCTGTCATCTGCCTTTATTATCAATGGCTGCAGTAATAAATCTAGTGGAGAGAAAGATGGATATAGAACTGCTAATGGGGGGGAGGGGAAGAGAGAGAGCAATAAAAAGAGTCAATTAATTATATGAACTCTGACATTTACAGATACAACAGGTACCTAGCAGTCAAGGTGCTTTATCTTGAAAAAGAGTTTAGGATTAAGCTAACTTTCTTCACCAAAATACTCAGTGCTTTTGGGCTTCCTTATGTTTTCTGCTTGTCTTATGCCTTGAAAGCACAGCTCCTGGTCAGGAATACTGAAGATATACTGATCACAACAGATACCCTGATCCTCCATTCACATATTTCAGACCTCAGGCCAACTGATCCCAGCCTGGGACTTCCCAGATTTGCTGACATATCTAGGAATTTCTGCAATTCTCTAGATTACAACCTGTAGCTCTGCAGATGTTTCACAATACCACCGACATTATTTGCAGCAAGCATGGCCTCTGTTCCCTGGAAAATCTGGGAGGTGAAGGCCAACTTCACTGGAATTCCACTCTAGAGCCTCAGCTGTCTTAGAAGGTAAGGTGAGTGAATGGCCAGTGATAATCAAGACAAAGCCTCCATGTTCTAAGGAAGCAAATAATTGATTACAAAGCGATCAATGCAGTTGCCATTTGTTCAAATGTCAATCATCATCATCATCATCATCTGCCTGACAAAAAAATCAAGTTCCATGTTACACATCTCCAGTTAAAAGGATCTCTCTCAACAGGTCTTGAAAAGACCTTTGCTTCAGATTTGGAAAGCTCCCAGCAATCAGAGTAGGACAGTATCATGTTGGGTGGATATCTGATTCTATTAAGTAGGGTTCCTATTTTCTATATGCATGAATTGTTGAGCATTATTTTCAAGGGGATACAAGACCTCACCTTTTTTTTTTTTTTTTTAGTCCTGGTATATTTTTTGGTCCTGGCATATATTGGTCCTGGTAAATTTCTTGCAGCTAATCTAACGAGCTACAGCATATGCCAAAATTCATTTAACATATTGTAGGAATAATGAGTTTCTGACATGATTTCTCCAAGCAACATATTTCCTTTTCTCTCCCCACCTTCCTTGTGTTGTTTTTAAATCTTCTCTTTTTGAAAATAGTGTAACAAAGAGCCAGAGGAAGCATTCTGCAAAGCTCACAAATGATCATTTGTAGGATTTTACATGGCCTTAATAAAGTTCTGTTATTCTTTCTGATTATCAACGAGAGACGGGCAGCTGTTCCACTCTAACAGTTGCCTCAAGTTCTTTAAGGCTCCAGAGCCAAGTAAAGCAGTCTTATGTGCAACATCAGAATTAATCACCAGAAAATCATACTTGGAAAAGGTAGATTAGGTCAAACTAATCCAATATGTCAGTCTGGATAGCCAGATCTTTGATGGCTGGATACCCAGATGGCTCTGGAACTCCGTTCCCTGGGAAATTTGCAAAAACCTCTACATTTTCTGGGAAAGTCCCAAGACTTCTAAAAGTTGAGATGGCTTTCAACAGTTAAGGTTCACCCACAGGAATTAGTTAAGGTGGTCACGAGAACATACCAAATGTTCACTGTGGACCTCCTTTACAATTTACAATGTTCTTTTTTTTTAAGTTAGAAAAACACATTACCATGCCTTCTACTGAACTAACTCCAATCTTTCTCTCCCACTCACACACATGCACACATCCCTGCCAGAGGGAGCAGTCTAGTTTATGGTAAAGGCGGCTGAGAAACACTTTTAAAGGAGCTGTTCTTTCTGTGGTTGGTAGATGAGGACAGGTGGAGGTTCTTCCTCCCAGCAGCTCAGTTGGCCAAGATCAGAGTGTTCTTCCCATCAATTCTGTGCATTTAAAACATAGCAGAAGAGTAAGGGCCTATCATGTGTTCATAGCAAGTCACCTTCGTTAAAAGCGAATAAATTCTCTCACCCTCTCTTCCAGGCGGGCCAGCTGCTCCTTGTAATAAGTCTCATGCTTCTTCAGCTCTCTCTCCTTTTCTTCCAGTTGCTTGGCCTTAAAGAAAACAAACAAACAAACAAAAAATCAGAGAGAGAGAGAAAAATAGATGAAGAACAACCAAGTTCCAGTGAAGTGAACATTTGGTATCAATTCTGCTTAATACGTTTTACCAAGAGATTGAAACCTGCAGCATGTTCCGTTTTTGCCAAGACAAGATATTAATACGATCATGATTAGCACATTGAGAAAATTAAGTGCGTAGCCATTGTATTTTTCTGTTTGCTCAACAGCTGTGCCTCTGATCATCCAAACAGATCTAGGAATAATCATAACACAGTGCCATGCACACAGCCCTAGAATGAATGCTTTAGTGGAAAAAATTGTACTATAAAACCTGAAAGAGAATCACAGATGAAAACCAAGTGGCCAGCATGCAATTACATTCTTGGTATGAGCATTTAAAAAAAGAAAACTGCTATTCCAACTTGGTACTTTCCTGATGCATTAGTCTTCCAATCTCATAATCCTGCGCTGGCTAGGAATTATGGCAAATTTCTGAAATTCACTACCCAATTAGATGCCAAAATCAGCATCTACTCAAACTGATTTTGAAATATTAATGTAAACTGTTTTGAATGGTTATGTGGGTCATCCTTATAGGAGATGGCTTTCCGTAGATGTCGAGAACCTTCAGGAAGACTCTTAGCGTAGAGGGCATAGGGAATGGCCTTGAAGGACAGGAGGAAGAGAGACTGCCTGGATAATGGTAAGAGAGGTCTGAGCCTAGGCCAAGGAAATAACATACAAAAATGTCTCAGACAAGCCCCTCCCTAGTTCATGTGAGGGAGGAGGGAAGCGCATGCAGACTTACAAGATTCTGCTACTATAGCTGTTACAATAAAAGTAGTCCTGACCTATGGCATTGCTTTCTTAGTGGACCGTGTAGGGCTGACACTTAGAGATGAAAGACTAAAACACATTAGCCAATCTAAACCTGAATTAAACATCTCTGCAAGCATATAAAAGGCTATGGGTATGGCAGGATCATTACCATTTAAAAATGAGCTAGTTCCAAGAAATTGACCAGCCAAGAATGAAGTGACTGGGGTAAACTTTACAATTTGTGAGGATGACAGAAACACAGATTCATCTTCAGATATTCTGACCAAAGCTGAACAATGTTTGCTTGCTACGAATTTCCTGGTTACTGATCAAAAAGATAATTCTGGTCTATCCTTACTCAGAGTAAGATATCTTGGAGAAATAAGACTTCATCTTACAAGTGAAATCACCCTCAAGGGTTCTGGAGGTGGTCATGGAGCATTTTGCCTCATAAATACCAGTAATATTTCATCTCAAACCAAGGTAGAGAGATGTCTTTTTAAAGAAATTAACTCCATTTTTAAAAGTACTTTCTCTTATGCAAAAGGAGGTAGTAGCTCAGCCAAGAAAGAATGAAGCAGAACGCAAAATACTGGAAAACTAAAAAAAAAAAATTGTTCTCTAAACAGGTCTGATTTTTTGAGAGTGGACTTGACAAATGTTATAGTTACTGGTCATAAGACTGACGTCATATGGAAACAGTGGAGTAAGTGAGGGAAGCTTGTAAAATATATCCAAGCTGTGCAGCAAATGGACAGAAAAATGAAACAGTCATGTTAATGTTTCTCTATTTGTAAATCTGCATGTTTCAGTGGGCCGATCTGCACCACTGGTTAGGACAGCCTTTCCCAATTGGAATACTACTGATATGTTGAACTACAACTCCCATAATTTACAACTAGCAGGGCCAATGGGAATTCTGGGAACCACAGTCTAAGACATCTGGAAAGCTCAGCTTCGAGATGAGAAGATCCCCCGCCCCCGACACAAACCACCTATTTAAATTCTCTGGATTTAAATCAATCTATTCTGCCTCTCTTCCTTGAATGATAATAATGGCCATGATCAAAAGCATAGGTCCCTTATCTTATATGGGTGTATTTTAGCCAACTATCTTTCTTGACACAATTCAAAGTCAGTATATTTATCCTAGCAAAAATATATTTGAAGCTACAGTTAAAAAAAAAGACACATCTCTCAAATTAGCTTACTCAAACAAAGACAGGTTAGAGAAGATTTCAGAAGACCAGTCCATTGCCCAATCTGTAGGTATATCAAGCTAAGAAACTTACCTGAAATGCAGACTATATTCAACATTTTAGAATTGCAATAGTTAAGCCCTCCTTAAGGAAGTACAGAAGATTGTTAGGGTAAGTAGAAAGAAGATCCTTTCTCCTTATTCCCTAATCCCACTTCCTTAACCCCATTAAGGGCTACAGGAATGTGAAACATATTTGATGCATGTTATTGTTCACCACTGTGTTGGAACAAACATTTCACCATTGCACCTTATGGCTTTGAACCAAGAAGTAGTAAAAGCTCATTCTCAGCCTTGTAACCCACCCTGCCCAAAATCAACTCTAGACCGTATTCATACAGATGGGATGCTTGACTGAGACTAATGAGGATTTCCTTCTCATCTGAATGGTCTGACAGAGGGAACTCCAGCATTTAGCTTCATCGTCTTTGGGGAGTCTAAAAACATTGCTTCCTGGGCGGCACACTGCTAACAACATATGAACGCTTCTAAATTAAGTGCATCCCAGTCATTAGTTTCTTACCCTGCCACTCCTACTCTCTAGGTGAGAAGGAGAAATGGTGCCCCCCCAAGCCCTGATGAACTCCCAACATCCTTTTGGCTATGCTGGCCAGAACAAGGGGGAGTTGCAATTCTTGAAACAATGCAGGTTCCCACCCTGAATCTCTGCTGGCCTCCTCATTCTCCTTAAGGATCATTATTACTATGAAGTCAATTCCATTTACTCTCAATCTCTGTTTCTTACCTTGTATTCCATTTCCTGGAAGCATGTAAAGGCAGAATACAAAGCTGTAAGTTTGTCCAACATATTAGATAAAATCAAAGCATTAAATAAACAAGACCCAAGTGAACTCTCAGAGTTAAGGACCCTTTGGTAAATCTTCCAAGGAATTTGGAGATTCTTGCTTGAAATAAAACTTAGCGTGAAACATCCCTGAATGTGTTGGTACAAGGAAAGTCTTCCTGCGTATCTGCCTTCCTCAATCCCTTGGCACAGGAAGCAACATGGCCCCTGTGCGCACAAATGCACATACCACATCATGCTGTCCAACACAAAATAATACAAAATTGCTAAAATCTTATGAGATTTTGGACGAGAATAGAAAAGGGTGCATGCCTCAGATTGCCAACCTTATGAGATTTTGGCAATGTCATGAGGATCTGGCCATTTAAAATATATTTATATTTATTTATATGCTTACATTTTTATTTATTAGCTGATCAGCCACTGACTAAAGAGCTATAAACATCAGTGGAAACTATACAATAACTAAGGAAGAAAGGCATGGAGGTTGCTGAGTTTTGTAGCTGGCGTACACCTCAGAGATCAAATATGGCCCAAAAGCAACTAGTAGAGATTGTCGTGGCTGACAAATTCCTATATACAGATTAACAGAAGAACCAGAGCAGTCCAGGAATCTTTATGTTATTATTGGGAACCTGAAAAAATGCTTTATGCGTTACTTTGGAAGAATGAGGAGTATATGAGTAAAACAAAATGAAAAAGTAGTGTCAGTAATAACAAACACCTAGTATATACTACATTCAGTAGTTTAGAAGTCAAGACAGTGATGGTTCCTTTGGAAAAGCCATGTCATGCACACAGTCATCCTACAGGACATTATCAATAGTGTATTATCAAGAGCTCTGTCAGCCATAACTGCCTGGACACACTCAACACTCCTAACTGTGCACTGAATTTAAGATGGATCTGTATGCACGGTTTACTTCTACAGATCTGAGAAAAGTAGCTGATACTTGGACAATGGCAATCTAACAAGTCCTACAGAAAAACATTTTGGAAACATCTCTGGCACAGGCTCAACAGGAGTAGTGTTTACCATGTAGCAGTGTGGGAAGATCAAAACGTTCCTCAATGAATGCCACTCCTTGGCATCCACAAAGTTCAGGGCTCCCACTTTGCTGTTAGCGTGAAGGCCCAGTTTCTCCCCAGTACTTTGCCAAGAGATAGTTACAGTTTGAGAAGTCAGTGGAGTGGAGATCAGCTAAAAAAGAAAAGTCATGAAGCTATTTGAACTTCCAGTATTCAGCCTTGGGAAATGTATTACATACACACAAGAAAGAGAGGGAGAGAAAGGTCATTTATGCATTGTAAGTGACACAGAGAGAAGCAGTGAGATGTCTAAGCACAAGCCAACTCCCTTTGCAAACTTCAACAGATCAATTAAAAGCAATTGCCTGAGTGTCATAGAAGAAAATAGAAGCAGCAAATGAATGAACTCACTGTCGTGGAACAAGGAAAGGGAGAGAGAATACTAAAGAAAGCCTAAAGAAATAGACAAGAGGGCTGCCAGATCAGGCCAAGGTCCCACAGACTAGCATTCTGGGCCAGAAGGTAGAGAAGCAGCTGCTTTCAGGAGCTCAGAGAGAGGAAGACAATAACTTTCCTCTACTGTTGCTCCTGAGCAGCTGTTACTGATGGCATACTGCCTATGATTCTGGAGGTAATAAATAGCCAGCAAATCTAGGAGCCCTTGAAAATTCAGTCCTCCATGAATTCCTCCAGTCTTCTTTTAAACCGGTCTCCACCACCACATCTGACGGCAGCTAAATCCATAACTATGCTTTGTGTAACGCTCTAACACCTTATCAGTCCTGAATTGCCCCACATTCAATTTTAATGAAGGACTCTGAATTCTAACATGATGAGAAAATGAGAACAACTTTGTTCAAGTAACATTTTTGGTGCACGTGTGATTGTATATAACATTTCCCTTATTTCTCTTTATGCCAAGCTAAAAACAACAACAGAAACCCAAACACCCAGGCTTTCTTCATAGCGAAGCAGCTCAAACCCCTCCCCCAGTAATTTTGGTGGCCTTTCTCTGCATCTTTTCCATCGTTCAATCCTTTTTCAAAGGTGGTGACCACACAACCATACACACCATTCAAA